GTTCTCCCGGTAGAAACGGTCCTCCTCAAGGGTCTCAGCTCGCAGCTCGCATTCGTGCCTGTGCCCCCTCTCCCTCGCCCTCAACGGCCCTGGGTGAGAGGACGCGGCATGGCCATCTCCAGAACGGCGCATCCCGCTGCACGTCCGCGAAGGCTCGGAGGGCGAGATCTGCCCAAAGCTCCAAAGCCAGTCCTCACTCTCGTCCGGAGCCAGAGGCGGAGTCGGAGGAGTTGTCGGAGTCGGCGGGCTCGGAGGCAAATGCGGCGAAGGAAGAGAAGCCGGCTGCCGGCGGCTCCTTGCAGAGACAGTCTTGGGACAGCACACCAAAGCTGACGCGAATTTGGAAGATCAAACCAGCAGATTGCTGAACGTCCTCGGTTCTGTGGCCTCGGCAGCACTCGACGTCGCGCCAACCTGCAGGCGAAGATGTACTCAAAACCATGGAAGGGGCTGACTCATTGGAATCTGGAGCTCTGAGTCCCTTAACATGGCGATACCCCGTACGCCAATAGAGTTCTGGGTCCTTCAAACTGACCTCCTTCCATCCGGAAGTCGCGAGCGATGCGAGCGGAAATGCAAACCAACGCAAGTTGTACTTCTTGCCTGGACGTGCTGGCCCGCAGCATCCGCAGCAAGATGGGACACTCCCTGCCACAAAGAGGCAGAAAGCGTCAAGCAATCTTGGCTCCTACGGGGTCCAGCCAGGCCTCGCAGGCGTCGGATCTTAAGGTCTGGTGCAGCTCCCAGGAGTCGTAGAGGGAAGGAGCCCAGGGACCTGCCACCTGTCAGTGCCCAGTTCTCCAAATGCCAACGCGGACTCGCTTCTTTCATCGCAGACCACCCGGAAGCAGACTGTGCCTTCTCGGAGTGCTCCGAGGGGCTCAGGCCCAGTCTCCCTTGGCCGGGCTTACGCTCGCCTCTGCCCCCTTTAGTCAGCTTCACTCCGAAGCCCCCTCCAGTCCTCTCCAACGTATAGACGGGCTCAGACTCATTAGAGTGCGGCCGCGCATCGCTGGATGGCTTCCAAACGCTCGCGCGTAGACAAGGCCTGCGTTAAAGCAAGACTCGCCCAGCGCTGAAACCGCCTGCTCTCGGCTCCCACCTGCGCCGGAGCTCCGCTGCAGCGCGGGAGCGCGGCCAGGCCGGTGCCTCGCAGCACCAAGAGCCCACAAAGAGCTCCCAGAGCTCTCTGGCTCCGACAAGCTCCCAAGTTTCTGGCGGATGGACTCCAGCCGGGCGAGGCGCTCGGCCGCCATCGGAAAGGTCGAGGACTGCGAACCGGGTCACTACAGTGTCATCACCTGTCTCAAGGCCTCAAGGGCGAAGCCTCATGCGCATGCCGCATACCTGAGTATCACGAGTCTGGTTGGCAGGAACTGCGGGGCTGTTCGGCTCTCCAAAAGCTGCGTGGTGATGCCTGATGTTCAGCGCGTGCGTGCGCCCAAACACGGTACAATGCGCGACCGTGGAAGGCCGATACTTTTTTGGGAGCGCCGGTCGATGCGCACGATGCCGGCAACACCGGGATTGAAAAAAGTCGATTTGGCATCGGTCGGAGTCTGAGAATCCGCTCAGGCTGGCCAAACTGTTACTAGTAGCAGTGGCATTCCTCATTGCGTACCTGTATCTTTGCAGCCTTTTGAAGCCAGCACGGAGAATCCCATCTTTGAAAGTTGGTGCCTTGTGGTGCAAAGGGCATCGAGCCCCTGCAGCACTTCTGGTTATCACAATCGATTTGAATGAGCCTGGGTGTGCCTCTAACTAACCTCTCCTCAGCGGCACCTCCGCCCTCCCCAGATTGCATCTAGTGCAGAAACAGTGTAGCTACAAATGCTGGAAAACGCATTGTCCACGTTTGCGCCGTGCCAGTGTTCAAAGCCAGCAGTGCGGCGCATGGATATCTTCGAAGGAACGGACGCTGAAGGCAGAGGCACTCCCGAACACGAGATTATCTCATAGCCTGGGCCAAAGTCTTTGGCTTCGCAGCCACATCCAACAGGCCAAGATACGTCGCAGGAAATGCGTGCTGAACCTCTGGAGTGCTGAAAGTTGTAGAGTGATGTCTCTTGATCTACCCGAATCTAGCCGAACCTGGCTGGGTCCCAGAGGTTCAACTCGGTTCTCTTTGCTACTGAGCCATAATCCATATAGCGCAAGCCCAGCGAGTCTGGAAGCTTGCTTCAAAAACGTCATGGCCAGGGTGGCCGAGCTCGCCGTCCGATCAGAACAAACCGAAGAACAACTTCGGCTCCAGCTGGTTGAGCGCCCCCTTTGCACAGTTGACATGTCAAGCTTGAAGGATGCGGCTCTCAACTGAAGTGAAGCACCGGTCTGCAACTTCTCTTACAATGGAAAAAGCAGCACAGAGCCAGTGAAGCCTGCAAAGCGTCTTCGGACTGCTTCTCGGTGGACAAGTCTGCCTTTCAGGGGAGGCCAGAAGCCGCCAAGGGGCTGGGGAAAACCAGCAGAGCTGTCAGAGCTGTCTGCCGTGCCTCCGCCTTGGCGAGCTTGGAAGCGGCCTCTTTGGCCTGCGATGGACAAGGCATTGGGAAGGCCAGATCGGAGCCGGCCGAGGCATCCGAGGCCCAAAGGCCCGGCCCATCCCGGCCTGAGTCTCCGTTGAAGACTTGGCCCTGGTGGCTTCCTGCAGGCTCCTGGCGCCGACAGGACGCAACATGTCCCACTCTCCGCACAACTCATTGTTGGACGGCGCTCCTCGCGATGTCCTCGTTTTCCCGCCTGTCCGCCTGAGGTGCGGGGAGAGCCGACGACGCGGAGCAGGTGTGCAGGTGTGTTTTTTCCACACTTTGGCCTTGAGGAGCTTCTTCAGCTCACGCTGCTTCTTGTTCGCCAGCTTCTGGCGCAACGAGCGCAAGGCACAGCACAGAAGACGACGGTGCAACGAGAGTGGACCCCAATCGCAGATGTCGGAATGCAACGACAGGCTGTGGAGCCACTCAAGGCCTTGGCATCTCGCTTGGGTGAGCTGAAGATGTTGCCGGGAGCAGCCTTGTCGACTGCCTGCTTGGCCTTCGCTGGGACACATCTATGTACCACTCATGTCAGCTGGCTGGTTCACTCCAGACTTGTAGAGCTCACTGCCTTGATCCTTTGCAAGCCACAAGCGGCGTAACATAAGCAAAGCAGCAAAGCCCTCACTTTGAGAGCAGTCCTGACGCATTATCTACAAGCCTCGGAGCGACTGTACGCCCCGACACCGAGCGCTGCATGATAAGATATGCATTAAAGGGGCCCTATGGGGCCATGCAGGTGCAGCCCGATTGGAGGATCCCTAGACTTGAGAAGCTGGAAGCCTGACCCGCTTGATGAACCCCTCTTGGCAAAGAAGCTGAGGCCGAACTAGGGGGCAAGTCTTCATATTGGCGGCTACCCTCTCTTTCTTTGTCGGGCTTCTGCTGCACGGCACGGTCCTGAAGTGTGGCATGAAGCATGTCTATGCAGATGACGACTTTTACCAGGAAGTTCAATGTCCACCTCATGGCCCTTTGCGTGGCACGCGGTGATATGCTTCAGACCAAAAAAACTGCCTTCAAAAGGTGTGTACTGGCAAACTCCTCGAGTCTAGCATAAACAACTTGGATTCGATCTACATCCGTGAAATGTCGCCATCACGAGGCTGGCGAAATGCGGTCACGGCCGGTTGCAGCGGCGAAGGCCTTCCAAGGTGGCAACGAGTTGATAAAAAGATCTAAGATGATCCTTGACAGTCTTTTAGCAGCAGCTCAGTAGCTCGTTTAATTGCGGCCATGAGCTGCCTTGCACTGGCCTCTGCGTCCTCCGGGCCCGCCATTGGTTCCTGTGGCACCCATGCCGGTTTGAAGCCAAAGGAAGCGAAGGAGAATAGATAGGCATGTGACGGCATGTGAGCCCCACCCGCGTGGTGCCTGCGCGTTGAGCGTGCCTTTCGGGACCACGAACCGTGTTCCCACAGGGGCCTTTAAACCAGGGCAGTCAATGACGAGCATGGCCCAGTGGCATGGCCTGCATCAGCTCCGTCCATGAGACTGGCGCCTGCAAAGCGAGGGCCGAGGGCCCTAGGCCTACATACGCCGAACGCGCAAGAAGGAGGAAGCCAGAAAGACGGCACCTTCGTGGCTACTGGAGCTTGCAGGATTCGAGTCCTGGGCCACTCTCTGACTCTCTGACTCTTTCCCCCCCTGCTCAAGGCTCAAGGTAAGATGCTGGCTGCGACAAGTTCGGTGAGAGACTCCTCCTCACCTGAGGCATGGAGAGCACGGCCAAGCTTCAGAGCAAAACGCGAGGCACGAGGCAGTCGCATCGTGTACTTGCGAAGGTGAGGCTGTCCTGGACAAGGGCAAGAAGTGTTGCGCTAGACCCTACCTACATGTTCATGGCTCTAGCCAGGTTTGCACCGTAAGCACTTAACCGAAAAAAACTAGACACCGAGTATCCCGAAAGCGAGTAGTTCGATGTGAGCAAGAGACGAAAGTACGTAGTCACGTATCATTTGGTAA